GCAGGGCTCTGGCACAGGGGGGAGCTTTCCATGGAGCTCTGGGTGCGGCGGCAACCAGCGGCACAGCCTGGGGCTTCAAAACATGTTTGAAGACCTGACGCCATCTTCAAGCGTCATGGGCACGCCATGGAATGGCGTTATCTATGTATTGCAAAGTTCTTCAGAAGTGCTGATTTCCGTCATGTCGACCTTGTTGTATATGTGCAAAGAACAAACTTGTTACAAGTTTTCATTTAATCTTGGCTGACATTTCTGTTTTGTAAGAGCACTTTTTGCAACTTTAATTCTTTTCAGTTTGACTAAGCTAGGAATAATTACATGGGTTATATACGGCAGGGTAGAATTTTCATCTTTGGTGAAATTGGTTTTGGTGACTCTGGTGAAAATAGTTTTATTGCCTTTCAAGTACAGGTCATTCCAACTTGTGATGGTTTTGTTGCTGTGTTTTGTTGTGTTTTTTTCCAACTTGCTGAGTAAGGTTTGAGTTACCTGATTGTGTTGTTGGAAGAAATGTTAGGTAAAAGATTCTCTAGCTGTGTTCAGCAGTTAATTGGTTGGTATTTTCTTTCCAGTATTCATAATACAAGAGATTACTCTTGCATACCTGTTCGGTGGGGTTTTGTGTGGTTTTTTGTTATGTCATTCCAGAGTACACATTTCTGGAGGATCTTACTTTGTCCCATTCTGTTTCATGTTGCCAGAAAACAGCTCATTTGGATTTTTTCTTAATTACTGTTTCTTCTTTACAAAAATAATCAGTAGAGAATTCATATTTCTCCAATGTGAATGTTAGCTTTTGAGTCAGCAAATCAAATATTCAGTTTAATATAGCTGAATATTGAACTCAAGTTCAAAGCAGTAGTAGATGGTTTACTGTAGTAATTGGATTTCTGGCAGAAGTGTTAATGGATTTGGGTCTGATCTGTAAAGTGCTGAGTGTTCTCCGACTGTTACAATACCTACTTTAGATGATTGCTCTGACTCTTGATGTTCATCCTTCTTATGATACTTAGTATGACTCTTCATAAGTTTATTTATTGTTGTTCCACGTTTTTAAATGAAGTGTTCATTCATGTGTTTGAGGTGACTAATTTTGTCAGCATTGCATTTATTGTTTGCCTTGCCCCTCAGTACATTGAATATTTGCATTTATGACCGCCCAGTGGTTTTTTTCAGAATTTCTGGGTTTCTTTGCGTCTTATTTGATATAATACGTATATTTTAAAGTCTCAGTTCTGTTTTAATTAATAAATGTAAATCACCACCTAATGCTAATTTACCACTTGTTAACAATAAAGCAAATATGCCAATAAAACTTTGTGATGCACACGTTTTTGTAGCCAAATATGAAATTGTCTTCAGTAAAATAGCATAGGGATAGGTAACATCGTTTCAGCTTCTGAATATTGTGATATCTTTGGTCTCAAGTACACCAGACCTGATGTGAGATCTGTCCACTATCTTCTGCTAGTGGTTGGGAGAGAACCACTGTGTTACTCGTTTCAAAGGATAGCATTTTTTAATTGACATTTGGGTTCCTTAGTGACCTTGAAAAATACTCTATACCAGATATTTAAATCAGTGTTATCTGTTTATAGAAAGTTAACTCCGTATCTTCTTTTTCCCAACTATATGGAGTTTCGTTTGTATGGAGCCTATCACTGTGACACCTATAGTAAATTGTTCTTTTTTCTTTTTCTTTTTTTTTAAGAAGGCTATAAGGTATATGACCTAAGCTTGATCTGGGTTTTCTCCTTCGTGAGGTTAGAGCACTGTTTGGTTGATGAAATGATAAAGCAGGAAAAAAAGCAGAAGTTGTATTTTTCCTGTAAAGTTCATGTATGTGAGCAGAAATCGTAATAAGGGTTTGGGTTCCTGATTTTTTTTTTTTGCTAATACAGATGAGTAGAGACAATTTCCTCTTTTCTTTCCTCTTTTTAGGGTAAAGTTCCTCCTACTGGGCTCTCTTTACTTCACCACACCCTCTTCAGAGAAAGGCAGATACATTTTCCCTTCATGCCGGATGAAGTTCATTTATATGCTAAGAGTCTGCAAAATCTCTTGTCATTGCTGACATTCCATGATATTCCTTATGCTGGCTTCCTCTTTATTTGAGTTCACCATGAACCATTCCCATCGGGTAGCAGGAGAAAAAAACAAAAACAAACAACACCAAAAACAAAACAAAACCAACAAAAACCTAAGTAGCTGCTGAATGAAACCTGTCTTGAAGCTAACATCTCTTTTGCTCAGCACAAGGCTGAAGAGATTGAACTGGAAGGAAACACATAACCAGCCCGGAGAGGTTTACTCCTGCATCTTTAGCTAAAGAACTACAGCTCTAAACAGCTGTTTGATGGTGTAGCGTGAGATTGGAACATTCTCTTCCAGTGGCCTTCCTTGATCTGGCCTCCTAAACACCAGAACTTCTTCCTTCTCCTTATAAACCACAAAGCTCTTGCCGTTAGAAATGTGCAGCATTATCTTGCTCACAGCGATTAGTTGCCCCTTTCTGCTTTTTCATAATCCCTTGCAACAACATTGCTAAAATTCTTTTTACTAATTTAAATACCCATGTTGCTTTCCCTTGGCACCTTCCCGTGAGTGCCATGTATTTCTAAATCATGGTTTTGACAGACTCCTATTCCAAAGAACTATGTAAATACATAACTGGAAGTGACAGGGAGGCAGGCGTGGTGATACCCTGCAATGTTTTCATCCCTTCGCCCATTCCTGCAGAGCAGTTTATTGTTGTCACATTTGTAATTTCGGGAGGGACTGGAGAAAGTTCTCAAATGGGAGGAACAAATCAAAGAGCACAAATCACTACGTTCAGCCATTCGTCTTTGCACGTAAGCGGTGACTCAGGAAATTTGGCAGCAAGAATTAGGCAGGCAGGATATTAAGGGAAGCAATCAGGGGAAAAAAAAAAAAAAATCATAATCTCTCAATGTAAGTTTCTGCTCTGGATCTAACCTCAGTCTTTTCCCCAGGATAAGCCTGAAACCGCTTGATTTGCCTCAAGATGTAAGTTGTGGGCTGCTGCTGAAATCATTTAAGCTGACTGAACTTCCATTTTGTACTAGCTAATACCGCATCTGTGTACTTTTCTTTTCATTCCCACTGACCTTTCCTTACTATGTGTACCATGTGGTTATTGGGAAATGAATCTTGGCCTTCAACTGCTCCTGAATTTAAAAAAAAAAAAAAAAAAAAAAGCAGCTGCTACTCGGTCTCAGAGACAAATGTAATTCTCAAGACTCCTGGGACTTCTTTCAGCAGAAGGGATTTCCAGAGAAGTCCGTACAATAGTGGTTACATTCTCTTATTTGCAGTATGGTATTGGGAAACTGTTTCCCTTTCCTATTACTTAAGTGAGTTATGGGTTGGGTTTGGTTGGTGGGTTTTTTCAGTGTTTGGTGTTCAAGTTGCAATCTCTCGCACCCAGAGCTAAAAAGAATACGTGCAAGTCTCAATCACAGTCTTACAAAGATACTACTCTTACTTCAAGAAGTCTCTCTACCATAAATAGATGGGGGGTGGGAGGGGGTGTATTCCAGGAAAGCATAACCCTGTGTTTGCTCTGCTCTTTACCTCCTCCCTCACCGTTAGGGCACATCGGGTTTCAGGGATTCAGGACGGCGATCTTCTTCCAGTCAAAGATCTGTAGAGTTCTTTGAAGCACATCCCACTGTTTTTTCAGATCTTTGTTCTGAATACCAATATTTTTTCAGAGTAGTTCCACAGAAAATTTCTTTAGCACCGATAGTTCACCTTACTGTGAACTAGGAAACAACAGCCTGACTTAACTAAAGATTTCCCAAAGTATTTAGTCCAAGGTGGATACCTGATATGGAAATGTATGCCTGAACTGGCCTGGTTATAGGCAACTAAGGAATAGGTATTTTCCTAATGGCAAGTGCCAAGCAACTGGAGGTTACATTACCAGCTGTGCTTTTAATGACTAGCTGTGAAAAAAAAAGCTGAAAAAAGGAGTAACGACACCCAAAAAGTCAACAGCCCAATTCTACCGAAGACAAATTTTATTATCAAAGGAGTTATAATATCAAAGTAAGAAACTGCAAAAGAGTTATAAAAATACTTGTATTTATCCAAAATTAAATATGAACACTTCATTAGTTAAATGCCAATATATTATTCTCTGAAAACATTCATACATTTTAAGTCACGTTTGTCTAACATGTTAAACACGTTATGTAAAATTATTGCATATAAGAAATCACAATCTGAAGGCAAGAAATTTTAGCTCCTCCTGCAGCTACCTTGAGGATAACCAGATACGTAAGGCTAGCGCTGTTTCCAGTCAGCTGAACAAACTTACATTCGGGCTTCTTTTTTTGCCTTCCGTCGTCTCACTGTATTGCTTCTACTTCAGCCAACAGAAGTGTGCTCCGTGTCTCCAAGATCAGTACCCTTCCTTTCAAAAAGTTAACCTTTTCCTTGGTTTTCCAAACCTAAATCAGTTTGCAGACCCATTAGATACCCACGCTGGAAACATTACTGCATCAGCAGAACGGACCCAAAATCAGCTGCTGCTTTAGTAAATTGTTCCTTTCAGTCCTTGATGCACTTTATATAAAGAAACCAGCTACTCTCCCGTACTGTTTTCTTCACCTACAGCTTTTAAGACGGTTTTATAAATGGCAGTAGACCTGTAAGAAGATTGCTTTCATAGGATGGTATCACTCAGAAAATCAGAAAAATTCAAAGTAGTTTCCAGAGCACAAAGGTGGGACACAGCCTTCTGCAGAGTTCTTTGTTTCAAACGCTGGTCTTTTATTTCTGCTTCTTGGACTCGAGCAGCTCGGTTTAGTCGTTTCTGTTTATTCCATCTCCAGGAACAAGGTACAGTAGCTTTCCATCAGAATTCTGGCATAAAGTGTTCATCTAAGTGAGCAGAGTTACTTGAAGGATGCATATAAAATGCAAAGATACCAAGTAATGCCACTTTGCAAGAGAAGAGCAGGATTCTCCTGGAATCACCTGGAAATTATTTTTTCGAATTTATTCCAGCAGGATCTAAGGCTACATATATTTTCTTTCAGTTCACAAAATTCTTGGTTACATTTGTTTTTGCTTTCTTCTTTATTATGTGTATTCACCTGTGTGCAAACCTGAAAAAGCACAGTTTGGACTGTTAATTGAGAAGCGCTTTTCATATAGACGTCTTTTAAAACAAACCGATTCCACTCCATCTCAACAAATAATGGAGGTACCTTACATGGTAATTAAGACAGAAAGCTGGGCCGCTCACAAACCATGCCGTGCTGGGACATGGCCTGCATCACTCTGGTGTCTGCGCTCCCAGCACAGCCCTGCTGCCACCCCTGCCCACCAGACTGGGAGAACACGGCTCTAACGCACTGCAGACTGGGACGGCTGAAACTAGCGTCTGCAACAGATAACACGTACGTCCTCTGGCAGGGGCTTAAAATTGATCCTCTGTGATTTGAAGGACTGGAAAAATAAAGCCAATGAAATGGTGAGCCAAACTTTCAAAGGATGAGACTACATATGTGGTACCTTGAGACTGGCGGACACAGGAGAGACCTGTTCCCAGGGGTTGGTGCTGTGGCCTAACACTCAGGATCTCACCCAGAGACAAGAAGGCCGTGGTTCTTGTCCACATTCAATGACTGTTCATGACAAATTACTTTTTTATTTAGACCGATTAAAGTAATTTGTCATGAATCCATGAGGTTAGCCAGGAGTTTCTAGGGTGACACTCTACTGCTGTGACTTAACTGGGATACTGTTTACGGTAAGGCAAATGTTGGCTTCACCACAGGTGGCTAAGCAAGATACAGACACGAACACTACTTTGAAGATCTGGTCCTAGATTAGAAGAGTTTCTCCATTTCAAAGAGAAAAAGAATGCGTTAAATGCAGCTTTCAATCCAACTACTTAAGCAAATCATAGAGAATTCTATCCTTTGGTGCCTATGGGGAGTCTTTTTGATGTTGGTCAATATTTTTGTGTTCAACAGGTAACTGTGAGCCACACTTACAAGAGCACTGTTCCTTTGCTAGGGTAGTCTGTAGATCATTGCGCTAGATTTCAGTGAAGCACCAAAGAGCAGATTCCACCAATGACTCAAAAAGCAAATATTTTCGTATCTAACTGTTCTTATCGAGTCTGAGATACTGTGCTTAAAATAAAGATCAAAGGGATTACGGAAAGGAGATAAACTCCCACTAATTGTTGAGACAAACCAAATGAAACATTCATCTTAGGGTAGAACCCCAATGAGAAATAACATCTATGGTTTTATACACTAGAGAAGTTAAAGGTCTTCTTCACATGAGTGTGGTTTTTGTCTTTTACCAAAGAATTAACTCAGGTATTTCAGTACTGAACCAGAGTATGTATCTTCACTACAGACTTCCAGATCATTGTCTTACATTGTCTTTGCACTGGGCTTAATGTCTATTACAAGACATACGCTATACGGAGCAAAATTCATCATGCATATAACATGTGCGTGACAGTTGTACCTTTGAGAGGTAGGTAGGACAGTCTGTGTTGGAGAGTTCTAAGGAATAAGTCACATACTGACAATAAACTTAGACCATCACTGCCACTCACCTTTTCTTTTTTATGTCTTTCACATTTGCACTGTAGAACCTGCAACGTCCTACATGAGACTAATGCTGCTTTCCATCTAAAGTCTTTGCTGATTTTTTGCTTATGAAAGAATCTGAGCATGTTGCATGCCATACTCTGCAGTGATTCTATTTCCTGTAAAGAGAGTAACAAAAATAGATCATGAAAAATCTCTGCACCATTGATTCTTTATGTTGGTTTGTCTTTTTTTTTTAAAAAAAGCTCCATCAGTTACCATTAGTTTCTTTTGCTTTCATAGTGCCAATCTTTTTCAATAAAACACATGACTAATCTGATCTACCTGCCATCCCTTCAAATATTTGAAATATCAATTTGTAGTAGTAATAACAATAACAGCGCAGGGATGTTAGGGAGAAATCACAGCTATAATGAAATCAGCTGATGCAGTTAGGAAAACAGTGAGTGATTCTTGGAGTCAGTCCTTTTATCAAGTCATTGTAGAATTAGCGGCAACAGCTGACAATTGTGCTTTCTGTCATACAAGATCTGCCCAAACTATTACTTTTAAAGCTTTCGCATCTGAAGTGAAAAGCTTAGCTAATATCATGTTCTGTAGAAAAACGAAAACAGATGTTGGAAAATTTTTCTGTTTACTTCCACTGGCAAAATAAAGCAAGTTTTCTGTACTATTTTGAATATTGAAAATAGTAATAACATATAAAAACATATAAGAATCTTTATAGCAGGGGGGAAAAAGTGCATTTCTTGGGTATGGAATTGCTTAATATTTTAATTTTAAAAATATCAATTTACTTCACAAATTGCATGATTTCAAATTCGGAAAAATGAACAACCCTGAATATCATGATTTGACTATTAAAAGGTAATACCACTCACTCTCCATCCCAATATGTTATTCAGGGACTAGACTGTACAAAGAACCCACTTGAGTTTGTAAATTCTGAGAATTTAAATTTTACCTGAGTATCATTGCAGAAAAACACTTTGACATTTTCAGGGTTTTTATTCTTGCAGCACCTGTCACGATACTCTGCAGACATATTTACCTGTAAAATAGCACGTTATGTTTAAACATGGCAGTAATTTTAATCAAGTGATCCAAGAGCTGGTGATGTCAACCTTGAATCGTTCTGTAGCACCTCCTCAGGAGTAGCACGGTCAGTGTACAATTCTGAGCTTTCAAGCAGGCAAAGAAAACCCCCATCCAGCTACAATTGCTAAAGGTATTCACAGAATCACAGAATGGCTGAAGTAGGAAGGGACCTCTGGAGCTCATCTGGTCCAACCCCCCTGCTCAAGCAGGGCAACCTAGAGCAGGCTGCCCAGGACCACGTTCAGGTGGCTTTGAGTATCTCCAAGGACGGAGACTCCGCCGCCTCCCATGGCAGCCTGTGCCAGTGCTCGGTCACCCTCATGGTGAAAAGGTGTTTCCTGATGTTCAGAGGGAACCTCCTGTGTTTCACTGTGTGCCCATTGCCTCCGGTCCTGTCATGGGCACCACTGAAAAGAGCCCAGCTCTGTCCTCTTTGCACCCTCCCTTCAGGTGTTTCTGCACGTGGATGGGATCACCCCGAGTCTTCTCTTCTCCAGGCTGAACAGTCCCAACTCTCTCAGCCTCTCCTCGTTCGAGAGATGCTCCAGTCCCTTCATCATCTTGATGGCCCTTTGCTGGACTCTCTCCAGTAGCTCCATATTTCCCTCATACTGGAGAGCCAGAACTGGACACAAATCTATTAATTTTAAACCTTCATATTCTATAGAATTACTTGATTCTTTGGCATTTTAAAACATACAAAAGAACTTAAATCTAACACAGACACCAAATACAGTGTTTGTCAATGTTTGTCTCAATAAATACATGCCCCAGGCATCTAAACAGATTGTAGCACTCACTTTGCATGTGCACTAACAGAAGATGTCCTAAGCAGTATCACTTGCTCCCTTTGTGTGACCATAATCTTTTATCAATGCTTTATCTCTGGAGTGGTTTTTTTCCTTCTACTTTCATCCTGTCATTGAGATGACAACTGAATGCAACTCAACAAAATATCTTTGCTTTCTTCTTCAGCCTGTATCACCCATTCTCAGTGAGTCCCTCAAGTTATCTTTAGTATAACCTACAACAAGCATTTCTGAAGGCAGTTTGTTGGCTGCGGCTAAAGCAACCTAAGGGAAATCCTGACCTCCGAAGAGGCATTAGTGAAAATCAAGTTAACTTATAAAGGTCTAGTACATAACCCACTAGTCCTCTCCATAACTCCCTCCACACATCAGGCTGAGGGACTGAAAGCTGTTGACTTTGGCTCTGCAATTGCAGGAGCAGTGGGCAGTTGCTGTCACTTGAACAGCACTGTCTGTAATATCTGCTGTTGAGTTATACTGACAAGATTATTTTACATACAAGACAAAAGAATCTCTCTTAAACTGTGAAAAATAAAGACAGGAAGATGAAGAAACTTGCACAGTAGTTGCTTGTGCATGCCTGTTCTAGGAAGTAAAAGCTTCAGAGTTCAGTATGTTTCTATTACCTCACACACATTAATTCATTAAGGTTTTATTTATTTTTTAATTTATTTAATTGGATAACAGTTTTAGTTCCCACAGTCTCTTAAAAAGCTCACTCTATCGCTCTGAAGAACAGCATTGCTCCATTCAAATCCTTGACGACACCCTGGGCACTGAGTGCATCAAGCTTGATCCTGCAATTGGGCAGTGGCAAGGCATTGCCACCTCCAGCCCCAGCCACCCACCAGCTTCCCCAGCCTTGAGCAGAGCTGGGATGTGTCTCATGGCTTTCCATCAGAGGAAGACAGCAGGACCTGCCTCCCAGAGGCTATTATTCCGGTCATATTGTTTTCTCTTATAGGTCAGCTACCTTACAACTGCTCACCGAGAGGGCATATTTTAACACTTTGACAGAAAAAAGATGACAAACTAAAAGGGCTACTTATCTGCTCTAATACGGCCATGAATATTTTCTCCAACTTTGGTGCCTTGTTCAGGACAAGGTCATTTATTTATGGAGAACTACCTTTCTCTCTTGATCACCTCAACAAACACAACATGATCAGAATGTTGTTGACGATTACACCATTGTTCCCTGACCCTAAAGGCATTGTGATTCCAGATGAGGGCTGATGTGTGTTGGTAGAGAAAGGCTGGAAACCACTGGCATCATGCTCTGAAGAGTGGTGGTGACTAAGTGTGAAGAAATACAACAGCTCCTGATTTCACCCTTGGAAAAGCACTGTATATCACTTGTATTTCATGCCAATAGATCTTGATTTAAGACTGCAACAACATGGCAAGCTCTCATTTAGTGACAAACTGTCAGAAAAAAAAAACACCACATTTTTGTAGAAATGTCTGCTAATCCAACTATGGAAAGTGTTTTCTCCCATGAAACTGTTCTCGACACATGAATTTAGTTGTTAATAATTCACGATGAAGGCTTGGAAGGTAGGTTTTGAGCATGGACCGGTAAACTGTTATGATACTATTTCACAAAGCTGTAATAAATCTGGCTGATAAAGCCATAACGGAGGAGATTTACAGCTCAGAAAGTTAAGCTTTTCTCTGCTGCCATCTAGAAAAGTTGATTCTTTGTTGGCTAAACAAGATATATTAATAGGTAAAATACAAAGGCACATTTATTGTTGTCTGAATTTTGTGCCTCTCTGCATTTTTATTCAATGGGCAACATAAAACTTGAGTCAAGAAGTCTACAATTAGTAGAACAAATTACAGGTTGTGTAATGCTTTCTTATCTTGATAAGGAGATATAAACAGAAGTAGTAACGAAATTACTTCAGAAAAGAGTACATTCTAATGTAATGTATTACACTATTTAGGGCTAAATGGTACATGTGTCTAACTACACAGTGCACAGGCACAAATAACTGTATCAGTGTTTGTACATGCAAATAGGCAGCACCCACAGATTTCAGAGGTTCTTAGAGAGACTGAGTTGTTGCACTCCCTCAAATAAAGCCACCATTCCAGGATAGCGGGTGATTTTAAATTGGTCTTTTATTGTATGCTAACATTAGAGCCTTTTTATCATTATTATTTGCTATCATCTGAAAATAATCAACACTTTTTGAAAGGCCAAGAGCTATTACCTACCAGCTCGTCGATGTCGTGGCTTAGTATATTCTTATACTTCTCATGGATTTCAGTTGTTTTGTTTCCCATTGCACAACTGGATGAATTCACCGGAGACATAACAAGGAGCAGTGGCAGAACCCGAAAGATAGATCTAAAAAAGGCTGGATTTCAACAAGAGCAGTTAAGTACATATGAAACGCCATCGAGCGTATCTGTATTAACAAATACATTCTGCAATCTGCTAAAATAGTTCAAACGGGATCTTCGTACAACGAAATGACTTGTACCTTGAAGGAAGGATTAAACTCCAGATTAAGACGCTAGTTGGGTGTCTAAACTCTCTCATCCTCACAGATGACTTAGCCTGCATGGTTAGGAGCCTACAGCTATGGAGCCGACCAGCCACTTGGTGTCTGCTGGGGCTGAATTCATTGCCAGGCTTCGCTGCGAGCCTTGGCGAGGTCTCTCCATTGATCATAACTGGACCATAACCACCACGTATATATGTAGACAAGTGTCTTAGTCAAACAGACATTCAAGTGTCTTAATCTGCAGCTGAATCTCACCCTAATTGTCCATTTTTCATATGATAAATTCTACAAATGCCCATGAACATGCCTTTACGTCAAAAGTGTGTTTAAACACATTTTCAGGCTGACCAAATGTACGAATCCATACTAACAGCCACGCAACCTTCTCTGCAAGATTTCTTGCAATCTTTTGGAGCAAATCTCGCTGTCCCTCAATCTTTTGGAGCAAATCTCGCTGTTCCTCACTTTGTTTCTCCCTTCAGTGGACCATCTGGCTTTGCTCAGATCCCTGGTCTTTTGTCCTTGCATGACAACCAGAAAAATAAGAATGCTATGAGGATGGGCAGAGAGAAAAGACCAAAATATCAAAAGAGCCTGAAGGGACTTACAGGGTAACTGGAGGGCAACTGGAAGCTGCAGGTGGCTGGCCTGATGCTGGGAATGAGGGAGACTGGGTACGGGACGGTACTGGGATTAGGATGCTCGTAACTGGAGTCTGGCCTACAGCTAGACTGGCTAGGATGAAGCTTAAATGGGAGGTTTTGGAAAAAAAACAGCTAGAGATTTAGGTTGGATGATTTAGCAAAGATCACAGCAGGTATGTACTAGTCACTGGACCAGTATGAGTCGTTCCTACCCATCTCTGCCACTCAGCAAGAACAACAACTGCACACAGAGTAACTGTGGGGTTGCAGAAGGGAATGCTCTGACCCCAGCTGCTACTTCCCTTCCTCTCCAGCGAGGACAGGAGCATTGGGTACAGCCAGTCCAGCACTCAGAGATGGGCGTCTCTGGACTTGGGCGTCACTAGTAAACCCCAGCCTCAGAGAGAAATCTTGAATAACTGAGAAGTAATGAAACTTGACGGTGATCTTTACTGAGCCACCTAACCTCTGTGATGCAAGAACCACAGTCACACCATGTGCTCATCTGCCACTCAGAGAAACACAGTCCCTCCCAGCCCATCCCTGCCGGCTCCCACTGCTGCTTCAAAGCAGAACACAAACCGCTTCTCCTGACTACCACAGCCTTTCTTTCTGATAGATTACTTGTGAACACACTGTGATGTACACCTCTGTCCTAGAACCAGGACTGGAAAATTTTTACCTGTACAAGCTGAAGTCTAAAATTACTCTTACGGCAAGCTGCCTGCCAACTTTTAATGGGAAATTTGATGGACCGAAACCCAGATTTTCTAACCTTTTCATATTCTGATCAACCGAGGTCTATCAATATCTCAAAAATCTAGCCTGAAGAGCTAAATGGATGCTAAATGGATCCTACACATAGTAATTACAGAAACTGGGTAAGGCGAATCTATTGCGATCTTCCAGCTCCAAGTGGACAATCTGACTTCCACAGAGCTTTACCTCTGTACATCTCTATGCTAACTGTATCTGTGCAAGTTACCAATTTGCAGGACTGAGATAGAGTATTTTAAAAGGAGTCTACAAAAAAATGCAAGAATTCAATTACAAGACAACATTTTTCCAACGCGCCACTGCACCTCTTGACACCAGTGCAAAAAAAAAAAAAAAAGCGCAATGCTTGTTTCCAAACAACAGTGATAGAAGCAGCTTGTATATGCCGCTTCAAAAACATGCTTCAAAAGGCACAAATAACAACCTTCTAAACTAAAACCAAGGTAACACGACTCCATCACTCAAAACTTGACTTGTCCAGCAACAAGTGGAAGTAATACATGAAAACCGCAGAGTCACGTATTTTATTTTTACTTTCTCTATATTGTGCAGATTGTGAATCTTTTCCAAATGAGGAAATTACAGAATGAAAGCAGATAGTTCTGCAAGCACTGGTGCACACTCATGAAGTCCCTTGAGCCATCGCCGGATCGTGATGTAACCTGTTCAGACGTTCCTAAATGAGTCCCCTGCGCCCCATTAGATGAGCATCATAACAAGTTCCAGGAACTTTAGACTGAAAATTAAAAGGAATTTTCTTAAAGTTAGGCAACTTCAAAAGAAGCAAAATTGATAGCACTCCATAGCTCCGAAACAACGGGAGCATGTATTGCTGGAAATACCCCATCCTTTCAGTAAACTTGCAAAAACAGTCCTATCTGGAAAGCCCCAAAGAATTCGCTGAGAAAAGCCAGGAAGAGTCAGCATTCCAGTATTTCCAAATGCAAAAAAGCCCCTCTTGGTTTTTTTTTGTTTAATTAACACCCCTCCCGTGCACCCCTGCAGCCCGGAGCCGGCGGGTCCCCCCGGTGACGCCCCCCTCTCCCACAAACCCACCCGCACCTCCTCGG